ATAAAAAAAAAAAAAGCCAGGAACAACGTGGATGGTACTAGAGGGTATTAGGCTAAGCAAAATAAGTCAGTCAGAGAGAGACAGATATCATATGATTTCACTCATATGTGGAACTGGAGAAACATAACAGATGAACACAGGGGAAGGGAAGGAAAAATAAGATAAAAACAGAAAGGGAGGCAAACCATAAGAGACTCTTAAAATATAGAGAACAAACTGAGGGTTGCTGGAGGGAGGTGGGTGGGGGATGGGTTAGATGGTTAGATGGGGGATGGACATTAAGGAGGGCGATTTGGGGGATGAGCACTGGGTGTCATATGTAAGTGATGAATCACTGGGTTCTACTCCTGAAGCCAAGACGACACTGCATCTAACGTGAATTTTTTTTTAAAAAGCCAGTGATGTTTTTTACAAGAAATCATTGTGCGTTTACCACTGATAGTGCATCTGGATTAGGATCTGCCACATTGCAATGACTCAGATGCCACATGTGGCCAGTGGCAAAGATCTACATGACTTATCTATATTAACTCAGGGAAACTATACAACCCTACTCCCATTTCAGAGATGGGGAAACTGAGTCCCAGAAAGCTTAAGAGTTAGCAATTGATTCAAACCCAGAGTGGTTCCAAAGTGTACCCCCTTGACCCTTCTGAACTCCTCGTCCTCAATTCTAGCTTGAAGGAGTGCTGTCCTCACCAAGCCTGCACCCAAGTCCTAGCTATGTTGGTTAATACCTGGGTGTCCCACGTTCTTTGCTTAACCACTCTGAAACTTAGATCTTTCATCTGAAAAAGGGACAGGGACCCTGAACCAGAAGGTGGAGGGATGATTGAATGGCTAAAAGCCCTGAAGATACCCGCCCCCTCCCCCAGACCCTAGCCCCCAGTGCACCCTGGGTACACTCAGGGTATCTTAGCCACTACAATTTTTCCACTTCCTGAAGTCATTTGAGCAGAGCCCCAAGCATGTTACCCAACCTTTGCACATAAAGCATTCCTGGAAATGTGTTTAAAGCTGATTTCGCAAAACTCAAACAATAGATTTCTGTGCTGTAAAGGACATCGCATTTACTAAGGATTCCGCAAATTATGAAATCTCAAACTACTTTTCATCTTTTAAGGCATCATTGTCCAAGATGGACTTACATGTTATTTTTTGAAGTAATTGGATTTATCTTCTTGTGTATTTTTTGGTTCTGCTTACATAAGCAATGGGTGCTTATTGCAAAAAAAAAAAAAAGAATAATGCAATTGTTACAGAAATATCCAATGTGGAGGGAGGGAAGCCTGGGGGGAGATTCAGTCGGTTGAGCTTCTGACTTTGGCTCAGGTCATGATCTCACGGTTTGTGGGTCCCAGCCAAGTGTCAGGCTCTGTGCTGACAGCTCAGAGTCTGGAGCCTCCTTCGGATTCTGTGTCTCCCTCTCTCTCTGCCCCTCCCTTGCTTGCACTCTCTCTCTCTCTCTCTCTCCAAAGTAAATAAACATTAAAAAAATAATAAAATAATAATTTAAAAAACAGTGTGCATAAAAATTGGGGCACCTCAGTCTGTTAAGCGTTCAACCCTTGATTTTGGCTCAGGTCATGATCTCACGGGTTCATGAGTTTGAGCCCCATGTGAGTTCCACACTGTCAGTGTGGAGCCTGCTTGGGGTTCGCTCTCTCTCTCTCCTTCTCTCTCTTTCTCTGTCCCTCCCCCGCTCATGCTCTCTCTCTCAAACAAATAAACTGTAAAAAAGCAAAATACATAAAGCTTTAATAGGTTCTCCCAAGATGCCCTAACTAACAGTGTGGAGAATTCCTGTTCCCCCACCTCTAGGCATTGTCCAAGTTCTTCATTTGGTTAAACTGAGGAGAAATTGACTAGATTATGAAAAGCACATACATGCTCCCAACGTCGTGGGCGGGACTGGAGAGCATCATGCTTTGTGAAATAAGTCAGTCAGAGAAACACAGACATCCTGTGATTTTACTCATATGTGGAATTTAAGAAACACAACAGATGGACACAGGGGAAGAACAGGAAAGATAAGAAAAGCACACACATGCATCAGTCCTGTCCATTTTCTCCACAACTGCACTGGTCACCCTACCTACGCCTCGAAGGGTCCTGCTGAAAGTCAAGAGCTTCCCTTCCCTCCACTCGCCTCGGGCTCACTAAGCCCTTAGCCATACTGGCCTTTAGCTTCCTGTAATGGATCAAACCTCTTCCCACCTCATACGCACATGCTCCATCTCTTCAACTAGGTAACTCTTATTCACCCTTCAGAGAGACCTCAAGTTCTTGAATCTGTTTCCCCATTGGTAATAACACCACCCCCTTCATGGGGTTACTGTGAGGAGCATATGAAATACATGGTTTCAAACACTTGGTGCAGTGTTTCAAAGTGTTAGGACTTCAGCTCAAGAGGTACCTCCTCCAGAAAGCCCTCCCTGATCACTCTGCGCAGGTCAGGTTCCCATGTTGTTCCCCTTTCTCAGGGACCCTTCAATTACTATTTTTTTTTTTTGGCGTATTTCATAAATATAATAATTACTTGTGATATTAACTATTTCATGTTTCTCTTTATCATTAAGACCATAAGTTCTGGAAGGGCAGGAAGGGTGCCCAGCACCATGCCTGCCCCCATTGGAGGCACCTGATGCATGTCTGTCAAATTAATGACTGGATGGGTCAGTAAGGGCTGGGTCCTTTTTTTTATTATTATTTATTTTTGAGAGACAGGAGAGACAGAGAGAGAGGGAGACTGAGGATCCAAAGCACAGAGCCCTATGTGGGGATCAACCCCACCAACCGTGAGATCATGACCTGAGCCAAAGTTGGACACTTAACCCACTGAGCCACCCGGGTGCCCCAGTAATGGCTCAGTCTTTGACTCAATTATACCAACATGTCAGAGGCTACACTTCTTATCCCTGTTAACAGCACATGCATTTTCTCCCTTCCCACAGCTTTTTATGAAGACAAAGGATGAAATGCAGTAATGTTCCTACCACTGTACAAAAAAGCCACACTCGGCCAGGCCAAGATGGTCACAAAGCCCAGGAAGCTGTTGGTGGGTAGGCAGCGCCCCCATGTGATCGCTGGAAATGTTTGTTTTTCTGTCCATCTATAAATGCCCAAATTCTACGAATGATCTGGTTACATGGGCTGTTTGTCCTTCCGGACCAACTGCCTAATACTCTGTGTCCTGAGAGACTGACAGGGTGGCTGGCTTCCTTGTTCTCCTTGCCTTCCGGTGCAGCCAGTGAGGCGCTCCAGGGAGAGATGGAAGGGTGGGATGGGCAGAAGATAGGGTCTTGATTCCCCCTCCCTGAATATGAACTGGATCTAGTGACTCGATCGTAATACACAGAGGGTAGCAGTGGAAGCGATGCCGTGTGACTTCCAACACTAGGTCATAAAAGATACACCTGGCTTTTCTTCTCTTGTTGGATTACTTGCCCTGGGGAGGCCAGCTGCCAAGTCCGGGCATATTCAAGTGGCCCACGTAGGGAGGAATGGAGGCATCACGCCAACAAGCACCGACCAACCAGCCGTGTTGAATGAGCCATCTTGGAAGCAGACCCCCCAGCCCCAGTCAAACATTCAGGTGACTGCAGCCCCATGCTCCTACCTCAGGACCCTTGCACTGGCTGTTTATTCTGCCTACAGTTCTCTTTACCCACCTCCCTTCACCATCTCCCCTCAAATGTCACTTGCTACCCCCTTTCCTGACCCCCCCCTTTACCCATACTCTTACCCCAGTTCATTTTTCACTGTAGCACCTACTGTCTCCCGTCCTATTATATATGTCCTTTTTGTCTGTCTCCTCCACTGGAACGCCAGCTCTAAGAGTGCAGGGATCTCCTTTGTTCGATCCTCAGTGCCTGGACCAGTGCCTGGTGTAGAGTAAGAGCTCCATATCATGGCCATAAGGAGAATCTAACAGATCTTCATGTTGGAACTGGATCAGTCTCCTACCTGCTTCCTGCCTGCTTTCACCAACCCTCTCCTGCTGTGACCTCCCTCTCCACTGGGTAAGTAGTAATAATATCTGATATATAATATGTATATACTGTATATATCTATAACAAGGGAGCCCCTCCATGCCTCCCCACTTCCCTCAGGATAAAATCCCAGGTCCTCTGTGCAGCCTACAGCTGCCCCCCTCACCCTCGCCCTGCCTGAAATTCCACATTCAGTCGCAAAGAATCATGAACTGCTTATATTCACTAATAGTCTCCAGGTGGGGTGCACGGACCCACAATCAAAGCTTTGGAGTTCAAGTAGAAGACGTTAGAACACCTATACTTTTTAATCTCCATTCTTGTTTGTTTGTTTGTTTGTTAAAGAATATCTTTATATAATAGGGGCCCCTGGCTGGCTCGGTTGCTGGAGCATGAGATTCTTGATCTCAGGGTGGAGAGTCCAAGCTCCACCTTGGGTGTGAAGCCTACTTAAAAAAAAAAAAAAAAAAGTTCTGGCCAAGAGGATTCTCAACCTTCCGATTTACAATGCAGATTCCTGGGAACCCCTAAACAGTCGGCTGCTGCCGGACTGCTAAGGACCAGTAACCTGTATTTTTAAGAAGCCTCTTCCCCCATCACCCAGCTACCTGCTGCTTCTTTGGCACCGGCACATAGTAGGTGGCCCGATGACTAGTTTGCCTACCCCATGCCAGGTGCTACTAAGCGCTCTACCTGGGGTCTTCAATCCTGACAAACACATACACCCAGGATGTAGCCACGGTATCAACCCATTTTACAGAGGAGTAAACTGAGGTTCAGAAAGGGGACGTAGCCCCATTAAGAGACTCAGAGCTATTTGGGGACTCAGGTCTTAATGAGCTCCTGATTCCTGAGGGAGGAGTGGAGAGGGTGATCAAGTAGGGGAGCGCGAACTGAGGGGGGACACGGAGATCCAAGGCGGCCTTCCGATGCGGCCCCGCCCCCACGAGGACGTGAAGACGCGGACCCCGCGCAGCGTGGGGACATGTGACCGACTGCAGAGGCCGCGCCGCCTCCACCGCCCGAGGTCCGCGCGCTCCGCTGCAGGGTGCAGACCCCTGGCGCCCGCCTGGGTCTGGGGCGCAAGAGCAGAGGCGGAGCCAGGGCGGAGCCAGAGCGCCCCGTCCACCCCGACAGCCCCCGTAATCGAAAGCGAAAGAGGGGGCCGAGAAGGAAGGGCGGGGCCATCCGGAGGCCCCGCCCCCTGCCCTGCGCGGCTGCTGGACCGACGGGCGCGCCCGGGTAGGGGGCTCCGAGCGCGCAGTGCGGACCCTCGCGGGAACCTGCGCCGCCGCCACCATGTCTCAAGAAGGTGTGGAGGTAGGAGATGGCTACGGCTGGGCCGGGGGCTCGCAGGAGACTCTGGGGAGGGGCCGGGGGCGCGGAGGGGGCTTCGCAATTTCTGGGGACTCCATCCGAAGCCTGGATCTTCGCCCTGGCAGGCATTGGCTCCCCTCGGAAAGGAGAATGACCGCCACATCCCCTAGAGTGAAATGCGGCCTCCTCGAGGGAAAGCGGGGGCTGCAGGGTCAAGGGTCAGGAGCCAGAGGTTACCTGGCCGGCCTTCTCCCTTCACCTGGGACGCTCGCCCCAGTCCGCTCCCTCCCCCAAAGCCCTGTGGGGACTTTGGCTTTTTCCAGGAAATGCCGTAGAGGGATGGCGGGGAAGGGGGGATGGGGGGAGGCCAAAACGAAGGGTCAAGTTCAGGCTGGGAGAAGGATGCCTAGAGATGGGGGAGGGGCGATCGCTCCTCTCCTTACCCGATCGGAACCCCCCTGTGCCCACCCCAGCTGGAGAAAAGCGTCCGGCGCCTCCAGGAGAAGTTTCATGGGAAGGTATCCTCCAAGAAGGCGGGGACTCTGATGAGGAAATTTGGCAGCGACCACACAGGAGTGGGGCGATCCATCGTGTACGGTGAGCAGGCCGGGGTCCCGGTCCTGGTAGGGGTTGGGAGTGGGGAGCACGCAGAAGACGTGTGGTCTGTGTTAAGGGTAGGAAGAGGTGCTGAGATCATCTCCTGGGGAGGGTCTGTACTGGGGCTCTGGGGACCCTGAAACTCCCACAAGATCCTTCAAGGACGCTTCACTTACACTTACTCTCCCCACCAGGGGTAAAGCAGAGAGATGGACAGGAACTGAGTAATGACTTGGATGCCCAGGTAAACTGCTCCCCTCCCCCTCAAAGGATGGGAAAACTGGGGAGGGGGGACAGAAGGGACCTGGCCTGTCCATGATGGGCCCCTTCTGTGGACCACCAGTCCCCAACTCATGATCCACATTGACTCATTCACCTTTCAGTAATGTGTTAGGCCAGGGAGACTGCAAACTGTAGGCACTCACTACATGATGATATTAAGTAGGGGAGAGAGACATGAAACTAGGCGGTGAAATGAATCGGGATTAATGTCATTATAGAAGACCCCTGGAGATCAGGAACGGCTTCCTGGAAGAGGAAATAGAGTAAGCAAAGGAACACACATTCAGGCTAGGATAAACAGAAGATAGGGAAGGAGAGAGGGGCTGGGGACCCCATGTGATGAATGAATGAATCAATGAAAGGCTTTGAGGCACAGGTGGGACACGGTCACTTTACCCCTTAAATGACTTCGGTGGCACTGTGAATTCCACCTCCTATAGTTGCTAAGGAGTGTTAACATAGTACATATTATATCCTTTACAGTTACACATGTAAAGGGTATGTTAAAAATAATAGGAGGGGCCCCTGGGGGGGGGGGCTGGTTCAGTCACTGGAGCCCGTGACTCTTGATCTCAGGGTCATGAGTTCAAGCCCCACATTGGGTATGGAACCTACTTAAAAATTTAAAATTTAAATTTTTTAAATGAAAAAAAAATAGGAAAGAGCACTGCATAGGACTTCCACATGTGGTCTTGAATTTCATCGCTGTACTGATCCCTTGAGATGGGTCCTATTATTTATCATGTCCATTTTACAGATGAGGAAACTGAGACACAGAGCGACTAGGTCACTTGCCAGGGTCACGGATCAGGCAGGCAGCAACTGGGATTAAAACCCTGGCCACCTAGCATCAGAGCTGGGCTCCGAGATGCCCCTCACTAGGGATGGGGGGGGGCACACTCCCACAGATGGAAGTGATGGAGTCAGGGCTGGAACCTGCATCTCTCTGGATCCAGAGCCCAAGCACTCAGCCTACAGCAGCAGGGACTCAAAGAGGTGACCCATCACAGTGCCAGCAAGCGTGTGGCGTTTAGCAGCAGAAGGGAGCGCGGGGTCCAGGCTTGTTCCGCCGCCATGCTCACTCAGGGTGATCTTGGGCAAGCCCTCTCCCAGCTCGGAGCCTCAGTTTCCTCACCTGAGCAGTGAGGATAGCATGCTCCCCCTCACCCCCCCCCTCCGTCAAGGCTACTGTAAGGATAACTGAGGTCATGCGCCTGACCCTCTACAAGTGGACACTGGGTGGTCAGCACCTCCTGAGTTGACACCCTACTTGTGTGGGGCCAGGACCCTGCCTCCCGATCCAGGAGCCCTGCCCCCAACAAATAATGATAAAAAGAGGTCTGAGCTGCATCCCCAGTTTCTGCCCCTGATGTCTCCACCCAGGACCCCCCAGAAGACATGAAGCAGGACCAGGACATCCAGGTGAGTCCAGGGTATGGGACCGGGGGTGAGGGGGGGCTTACAGGGAGGAGGACATCTCTGGGGGATAGTGGGGGACATCCGTGGACAACAGGGAGAGGCGTTACAGGGGCGGGAGAGGGGACATGTTTGGAGAGGGGAGAGGGCTGACCTGTGTTTATGTTAGTGCGAGAGGCGTGACCACCCCTTGTCCCCCGACCCGCAGGCGGTGGCGACCTCCCTGCTACCACTAACACAAGCCAACCTCCGCATGTTCCAGCGGGCGCAGGAGGACCTCATTCCTGCCGTGGACCGGCAGTTTGCCTGCTCTTCCTGCGACCACGTGTGGTGGCGGCGCGTGCCCCAGCGGAAGGAGGTGAGGACCCTCTCCCCATCCTCAGACTCTGACCCTCTGACCCAAGAATATCAACCCTGGCCCGCAGTCTCGGAGCTCCGCCTCCATCCCAGACCCCACCCCCCACCCCTGAGTTGGACTTCTGAGCCCCTCCCCCACCCCAGAGCCTGTCCCGTGACGCCGCAGTTTAACACCTGCCACAGAAATCAAACCTGACCTCGAAACCACAGCCCCAAGTCTGGCTTCTGAACCCCCTGATCAGCGGTGCGCTTTATGGTAAATGCTCAGCAACCAGGTCGCGCAGGGAGGTGGAGGAGAAGCCCGCATTTGTACTCTTTTCCAATTTCCCGCTGTGGCCAGTGTCACGCCACTGGGGCTCACCTCTGACCGCAAGCCTGCCCCCCCCACTCTGCACACCCAGGTGTCGCGGTGCAGGAAATGCCGAAAGCGCTATGAACCGGTGCCATGTGACAAGATGTGGGGCGTGGCTGAGTTCCATTGCCCGAAGTGTCGGCACAACTTCCGGTGAGGGCGCTGACCCCCACCCCCTTCCAGCCTGCCCCGCCCTCCCCAGCCCTGCCCTGCCCTGCCCTGGTCCCACGCTGGCCCGGGCCTCACCTCTGGACCCTCACGGCCCTGCCCGCCCCCAGGGGCTGGGCACAGATGGGGTCCTCGTCCCCCTGCTACGGATGCGGCTTCCCTGTGTATCCAACACGGATCCTCCCTCCGCGCTGGGACCGGGATGTGGACCGCCGCAGCACCCACACCCACTCCTGCTCGGCCGCCGACTGCTACAACCGGCGAGGTGAGGGCCTGGCACGCCCGCGGGGAGCTCCCCTGGCTCTGGGCGGACTCCGTGACCTTGACTCCAGGGACATCCTCCTCCGGGGCTTTAAGTACCAAGGCGTCTGCCTGCTTCTTCCATGTGCCTCCTAAGGCCCTAGTCCCCAAAGCCACTTAGCTTATCCCATGGCCTCAGCCCCTCCTTTCACATCTTCCGCTCACATCCCCCCCCAATCAGCCTCCAACACCAGACCCCGCCCCTTCTAATATCCATCTCCCATGAGGCTCAGTGGTTTCCCTCATGGCCTCTGCCCTGGTCTCTGTGTTCTCGGCCCCTGTTCTGTCTCCTGTAGTCTCAGGTGATGCCCGGGTCCCTGGGTCTCTTGTGGCTTCAGCCCCTGCGACTTTCATCTCTGAACTTCCTGTAGCTCTGGCCCCGCAGCCGGTAGCCTCAGCCCCTCCCCTCCCGAGCCCCCATGGCTGGAGCGCCTTTGCCCCTAGAGTCTTCCATGGGCCTCCAGCTCCATAACCTCAGAGCCTCTTCCTCCCTAGAGCCCCACGTGCCTGGGACTTCCTGCGCACACCCCAAGAGCCGGAAGCAGAACCACCTACCTAAGGTCTTGCACCCCAGCAACCCCCACATCAGCAGTGGCTCCACTGTGGCCACCTGCCTGAGCCAGGGGGGCCTCCAGGAAGACCTGGACAACCTCATCCTGGAGGACCTGAAGGTGGAGGAGGAGGAGGAAGAGGAGGAGGAGGAAGAGGAGGAGGAGGGCGAGGGTGGGCACGGGGAGTGACCCCGGACAGGTGCAGATGCAAACTGGACACGGTCTGTGGATGTTTTGTGTTGTTATAAAATATGAGCTCAAACTGAGATCTAAATGCCCTTGGGGAGCCATTTGGGTCTGCGACATTGGCAGGGGGATTCCTGGGTCCCCCGGTCAGGGCCCTGGGGAGCAGATTCACAACAGGAAAGTGTGGGGGACGTGGCCCATGCTAAGTCACAAAGCAGGTGTGGCCAGGACAACTTGCGCTCCTGCTGACAAACATCCCCTGAGGCCCGGGGGACAGACGGTCACAGCCTCAGGGGCCGGATCAGCATGGCTGCCTTCTTGAGAGAGTAAGCCCCACCACGAAACTCAGCCCAGTAGACACCATCTTGGTAGCGGCTGCGGTAATGGCCACCACGGTGCCACACGCCATTGAGGTTGGAGTGGGCACAGGCATGGTACCACCAGCCTCCCCGCTGGTACAGGGCACAGTTACCTGAGGAGAGAGAAAATCCATGTTCTCTTACCAGAATAAAAGTCTCTACTAGCATCTCACTAGTGCAAGGCTTTTGCCAAGCATCCCCTGGCCCTTCCCACTCTTACTAAACACAACCCTGATCCTCTCTCCTCATTAGATTAAGAGCCCTGTCTCCTACTTTCTTTTCTAGAATAATAACTTTAATTCCTTCCCTGTCTCTCTACCAAAGTACAAGTCACACTGTTTCCACCCTTTCTGAAAACTAGAAGCTCTGCCTTTATCGGGGGGAGAAAAATCTTCCCTACTTCTTTTCTAGAATAAGACTCCTAGCTCTCCTTGCCTTTCACCAGAAGAGGGGGAAGCAACTGCCTCATCAAAGAAGGAATCTAGGCTCTCTATCCCCTCACCAGAATAAAAGTCCTCTCTTTTCTCTTGCTTACCCTGGTCCTTAGCAGAGGGAGGTCTCACTCCACTCTGCATTCTTTGCATTCCCTCCATAGGAGTACCACCTCCCCTGTCCCCCACCGCCCACCAGAATAAGAGCTCTGCTTACCAGAATAGGAGTCTCGATCCCTATCCACGGTGCTGAAAGGCTTGTCGTTGTGCCAGGAAAGAGAGTCTCCAGCATCTCCATGGTACTGGCCCAGCCGTAGGCGATAGTGGTCGCTCTCAGGCTCCAGGGAGAAGCCATCATAGTGGGCACGTGCACTACGCCCTCCCCAGTCCTCCAGGAGCACCAATAACTCGTGGTCCCCACGGCTGGTCAGCTGATGCACAGGTTCCAGGCCCAGCCAGTATTCTCCATCAGGCTGCCCGAAGCCCACCTGGCCGGACAGGAAAGTCAGGAGGTCGGAAGCAGTCCCCTCCCCAACACAGCCCCGCCCTTGCCCACCCACGCCCACCTTGTAGTGCTGCCAGGTGGTGAAGAAGTTGACGGAGCCGTCTTGCCGCCTTTGGATCACTGTCCAGCCTCCGCCCTCCAGCTGCTGCTCGCACCACGCTGATACCACATGCCGGCCCAGTCGCAGCTCATACACACCGCTCTGCCTGTGGCCTGACCGGTGGGCCTCTGCGCAATCCTGCCATGGGCCTGTGGGTACAGAGACGTGGGGAAGTCACAGCCTGGACCGACCAACCCCTTCTTGATAGACGGATCTGCATTCTCATCTCATCCCCTCACCAGAATAACAGTCCTGCCTCTCCCATTCCCTGACCCAAATAAGAGCCCCAATACCCATTTCCTTACCTGAGTTAAGACTCTGGTTCATTCTTTTCTCACTTAGCAAATGTGGTGCCTGGAGTACTGAAATCCTGGTTCTAAAACCTCACCAGACTAGAAGTCCTGAACAGGACGCTGTGAGCAAGCTTAAATTCTTACCAATAAGCAGTCCTAAGTTCCCTGCCTTCTCACCAAAAGAAAAGCCCTTCCTTTCCTATTTTCATACCATAGTAAAGATTTTGGTCTTTATCAGGAGGAGAGCCATGGCTCCTTGTTGCATCACCAGAATAAAAGCATCATTTCTTCCAGTTCCCTTACCATGAAAGAAATCAGCCATTAAAATCCTGGCTCCTATTTCCTTCTCTTCACACTGCACTGGGAATTCCCTAGCCTCTCACATCCCCAACATTCTTGCCTTCATCTTACCTGTTGGCTTGGTGGGGACAGCAGGGTGCCCTGCGGGCACGGGAGAAGCCAAGGGCCGTTGCTGTCTCAGGGTCTGGTCTCTCTGGGGCTCCGGAGCTGGGTCTAGCCTCCTGCTGGTGTCATTAATGCCACCCACCAGACTGACAGGAACCACAGGCACCAGGGGTGGGGGCAGGACCTGGGGTGACCAAGAGACTCAGATGTGATCGCACCAGCCTTCCATTGAAAAGACCCTGGGCCCCTAAATCTCCCAACACCCGGATGGGTGGATCAGGCAGGGGCATGTCCCAGCCCTAGAATGGATACTTCCCAAAGCCTAACTCTAGCTGTCAGGAGCAGCGCTGGGCTTAAATTCCTGCTCTGATGTTCACAGCTTAATTTATCTGACTCTGACTCTCCTTTTCTGTAAAGCAGCGATGATACAAGTACCTCCAACAACGAGTATTAGTTTACTGAATCCTCCCAACAGCCCTCTAAGGAATGGGTTGTAACGGAGCAGCACTCTTATTCAAAATTAGGGCCAGCCATGCTCCAGAATTAAAAATAATATAACAGAAGTTAGAACAGTAACACAAAGTCTATATTTATATCACATAACACCACCAATAACATGGGTTCTTGGCCTTTACATAATAATATGCTTGATTACAGGCACTATGAATATTTACGTTGAGTGGATAAGTAGAGATTTTAAGTAGCCACCGGTCGCATTCTGACCCAGATGAGCTGTGGAAGGAGAAACAGGAATCTGGTATTTGGAGCTTTTCGGATTTCAAAACTGCGTTTCAGAGACCATGCGTGAGGTTGCAAGAGCCCCATCTTACAGCTGATGCACACAGGAAGTGACTACGATTCCTGGCGATCTTAAAGGTTACCTGCTGCTGCCCGCCCGTGCCCCCCGGGCACAGGCGCTCCAGGCGGGCGATGAGGCCACTCTGCTGGGTGACCAGCTGTGCCAGCTCCCGGAACTTGACATCCAGCTGGTGAAAGCGGGCGGCGGCGCGCTGCGCCTCGGCTGACACGTTGAGCACGCGCTCCCCAAGCAGCGCCAGCAGGGCAGCGGGCTCCGCCCCCGGCCCCGGCCCCGCCCCCGGCCCCGCCTCGTGCTGCAGCTGCGCGCGCAACTGGCCCAGGCGCGCGCTCAGGCCGCGGCTCTCTTTGCGCAGCGCGCGCACCTCGCCCGCCACGGCGCCGTCGGCCGCCGCCAGCCGCTGAAGTTCGCGCAGCAGCTCCTCGTGGCGGCCCACGCGCATGCGCAGCGCTGCCACCTCGCTGGCGTTCACGGCCTCCGCGGCCGGGCGCGCGGCAGACGGCCCGCTCCAGCACACCGCGCCCGTGAACTTCTGCTGCGGCAGCACGAAGGTGTAGGTGCAGCGCGGGGCGCCCGCCCGCGCCCATGTCGCGCCCAGCAGGAGCAGCAGCTGCAACGTGCGCAGCTGAGGCGCCGACATGGCCGACCTGAAGGCAGAGGACGAACAGGAAGGAGGGGAGTCCCGGGAGCCTAGCCTGGGCCCCCAGCACTCGTTTGGGCCAAAGGGCGTTGCTCCAGGTTCCCCCCCCCACCCCCGCCACAGGTTCGCCTCCCCACCAGCCCCTCCCACCTACACTCCCCTCCCTCCCAGGCAGAGAAGCCCCAGTGGGATCCCACCCTCTCCACCCAGTGGCCTCTCCACTGCGTCCCAGGCGCCCTGCGGGACAGCATGTCAGGCATTCATTCATTGAGTGCTTGCTGTGCGCCAGCCTCGGCTGTAGGGACTAGGCTGTAGGGACTACGGTATGGAACAAAACACAAACTTCCTGCCCTGATGGGCAAGAAACAAAATAAAGAAGCTACAGGGATTGCTAGAGCGTACTGGCCCGTGTTAAGGTAACAGTAAACCAGCAGAGACATGTGGGGGATCTGGGCCCTGGCAATTTGAAAGGAGGGAAGACTTCCTGGAGGAGGTAAGGGAGGAAGTAATGAGGATATCTGGGGAAGAACAGCATCCCTGGCAGGGGGAACAGCAAATGCAAAAGCCCTGAGGCTAGACTGTGCCTGATGTATTAAAGGAACTTACTGGGAGGCTGGAGCAGAGGGAGGCTGGAGCGGAAGCAGAACGGTGAAAGGGGGTGAGGTGGGGTGAGAGAGAAAGTCTCACTAGCTGAGTCTAGTAGCAGACACCCCATCTCCCAAAACCCGGGAGTCCTCCCTGTCTCCTCTTCACAACAGATCCAACTTATCAGCCAGGCCTGTCAGCTCTTCTGTTTAGACCCTGAATTCCTCCGCGTTCCCCCATCCTCACCCCCCAGCTCGAGACACCATCTGGACTTCATTACAGCAGCTGCCCCCCAGGTCTCCAGCTGTCCGTCATCAGCCTCCCACAGCTGCCAAAGAATCAGGTCATGTCTCTCCTTTTCCTAGAGAACTCTTTGTGGCTCCCAGCTCAACCGGAGCAAAAGTCTAAGTCCTCCTGTGTCCCCACAAGGCCCTGCACCCTCTTCCCGTCCCCTCCCTGCCCTCCTCTCCCTCCCACTCACCCCTCACTCACTGTGTTCCAGGCACACTGGCCTCCTTGCAGCTCCTCAAACACACTGGGCACAGTCCCTGCCTCAGGGCCTTTGCACTTGCCCTTTCCTCAGTCTGGAACATTCTTCCCGGAATTTTAACATGGCTCCCTCTCTCTCCTTATTCAGGTCTTAGCTCAGATGTCCCCTCCTCAGAAGCCCTCCCTGACAACCCCCATTTAGCGCTGCTCCTCCTGGGCACTCCCCAGCACAGTCCCAGTTTGTCATTTTAGCATGTGTCACTGTCTGGAATCGCCTCGCTTGTTCGCCATTGTTTACGATCTGAATTCCTCCACCAAAGCATCAGCTCCCAGAGGCCAAGCCTGGGTTTTGTTCCGTGCCTGGTGCCCCACGCTCACATGCCCCAGCTCTGTTGTGCCCTCCCGCGTGCTCCCCGGCTCACACACGTGAGCTCCCCTGAGTATTGGAGGCCACAGACTGTGGCCACCTCCCTGACGCCCATTGCCTTCTTTCTTGGGGTTCACCCACTCGCAGCCTCTCAGGTGAGGACATAAGTGCCTCTCGCATGCACTTGCCAGTGCTCAGGACATGTCTGCCGTGTCCACGCATCACCCCCCTTCCCCCCATCCCAGGTTCCACTGTTACTGATGCCACACAGTCACGTGCCGCCAGGTCTTCACTGCCACGCATATCACCTTGTTCACACATTCAGCAAACACTCCTTTAGTGCCTGTTGTGTGCCAAGAGCTGTTCTAGGCCCCCTGGGGTGGGGGTGGGGGGGACACAGGCCATGACCAACACAGATAAAATCCCTGTCCTCAGGAAGCTGACATCCTGGCTGGGAAAACAGGTGGGAGGGTAGGTCAGAGGGTGATAAGTTTTTAGAAGAACATTCAAGTGGGGATGGAGGTAGGGGATCCTGGGATGAGAGGCCATTTTTTTTAAAGATTTTTATTTATTTTGAGAGAGAGCACATGCGCACCGGCAGGGGAGGTGCAGAGAGAGAGAGAGAGAGGATTCCAGGCAGGTCCCGCGGTGTCCGTGCAGAGCCCGACGAGGGGCTCAATCCCATGAACTGTGAGATCGTGACCTGAGCCGAAATCAAGAGGTGGAAGCTCAATTGACTAAGCCACCCAGGTGCCCAGAGGGGCCATTTTATTAATTTTTAAAAATGTTTTATTTATTTCTGAGACAGAGACAGCGTGAACAGGGGAGGGTCAGAGAGAGACACAGAATCTGAAACAGGCTCCAGGCTCTGAGCTAGCTGTCAGCACAGAGCCTGACGCGGGGCTCGAACCCACGAACCGTGAGATCATGACCTGAGCCGAAGTCGGACACTCAACCGACTGAGCCCCCCAGGCGCAGAGGGGCCATTTTAAACAGAGGGGTCAGAACTCACTAAGATGACACTTGAGCAAAAACCTGAAGGGAGGGAGAAGGGTAAGAGCATTCCAGGCACAGGGAATAGCAAGTGTAAGGGCCCTGAGCTAGAGGCTTTGATGTGCCCAAGGAGTAGCAGGGAGGCCGGGTCAGACTGGAACAGAGCAAGCGAGGGGGAGAGCAGAGGAAGTGTGCAGGGCCTCGCGGGCCTCATGACGACTTGGGCTTTCACTCTGACTGAGGTGGGAGCCCCAGGGGGTTCTGAGCTGGAGAAAAGCATATCTGCTATCATATATGCACCCCAACCCGGAGCTCTCCTTGCCCCCTCCTCGACAACACCAGGCCCCCCACGACAGGGACGGACCACACCCCTTGGAGCCGGACTATGTAACATCCACCGCCTTCCGGGGGCTCAATCTGGGGCGAGAAGGAGGCCCCAGGAAGCCCAGGTCTCCAAACAGGTAAAATCAGCCTCTACCTGCCCTCCTGCGTTCTCACCTCTCAGGACCAAGACCCCGAGTCCGGCAAGGCTGACGGCAGACACGAAGTCCCGGGAGGAGCTGAGGGTCCAAGAGGAGCCTCTGGGCGAGGAAGGGGAGAGGCCGGTGGGAGAGCAGGAGGGAGGAGGCTTGGTAACCACCCCTGTCCCCCAGAGCCTGGAACCAGAGCCGTGGTGCTGGGTCCAGGAGCTCGAACTGTAAATATTTATCATTTCTCGCATGAGAACTGAGGCAGAATTGCCAGACACCCCTGCCCAGGCCGGCAGGGCCCGATAACACAGGTCAGTGCTCCGGATGTTCCTCCCGCAGCAGAGCACAGAGCGTGGGAGGTTGCAGGCCCCAGGAAGCTGGGGGGGGGGGTCACAGACACACCCCAGAGAGAGACAGCACCAAACACCAGCACCTGCTGTGCCAGCCGGCCGTGACTCTATAAACACCACACCTTCTATCTCGTTTAGTCTTCACGACCTGAGCCGGTTTGTAGCCTTATTCTACAGCAGGGAACACTGAGGCTGAGGGAGGGTGAGTGATTTGCCTGCAGCCACACAGCCGGGGAAAGGTGGATCTCAGCCCGGGTAAGTTGGCTCCAGCGTTCACACGCATAGGCCCCGCCCCTCGCACACACTGTGTACCCACAACAGGGCAGAAATCAAGACACACAGATACCCGATGAGACATGCAGACCGCGGCACGGAGCCGCAGAGAGAAAGACAGAATCTGTGCGCGTGTCTGCGGATTTGCCCGACACACACACACACACACACACACACACACACACACACCACGACTTAAAGAAAAATACCCTGTGGGCAGAGTGGGGTCTCACACTGGCAAGCACAGAGGTGCCAACCAGGTAGGTGGTGAAACCCCGGTACCCACCCACCTGCCCCCCGCAGGGGACGTGCTCCCATTTGTCTCCCACACACACTGTCACATCCTCAGGTCAGATCACGCAGGGACAAAAACAGGAAGGAGTAACCACGCAGTCATTTCTCAGAGGTACAAAGGGACTCACATAGAGCTCCCCCACCCCGAGCCCGGTCTGGGGTCTCCCACCTGCACAAAGGCCTCACTGACCTGCAGACACACTCTCAGGGAGCAGCCTCCTTCGCCCGGTTCCTACCGTCCTGAACTCGTAACCCGAGTGGACTCCCGGGCTGGAAGAGGAAATGGTCGTCCCAGATCTGAGAGAGGCTGCCAGGCTGGGCTCCAGGCCTGGGCTGGGCCCCCCAACACTGGGCCTCTTGGCCCCCCACCCGCAGCCCCCTCCAGCTTCCTCCACTGGCAGCAGGGAAGAAACCTCATAAGTCACAGAGAGGGACTGACAGATGGGAGAGAGAGTCCAAGAGACAGAGAACGGGAGAGACATGGGAGGAGATGGACAGAGACAGGGGGAGTCTGGAAGAGGGATGAGGAGAGAGAGATGGGGGTAGAGACATAGGAGAGATGGAAACTTGAAGGCAATGAAAGAGACAATTGATGGCAGAGACAAAGTTTGGGCAGAGGGAGACAGAGATAGGAAGAAGACAGGGATGGGGAGGGGAAGACGGAGTGGGGAAGAGGGGAGAGAATTGGAAGAGACAGGAGACAGGAGGCAAATTGGAAGAGACAGGGAGGGGAGGCAGATGAGGGAGGGGAAGCAGATGGGGGAAGGAAACCTATGGGACAGGAAAAGAGACGTTGGGGGCGTCCCTTTTCCCCACCCCAAGGTTCTGGGGAAGAAGCCAGAGGCCTGAGGCCAAGACTGGGGCTTTGAGTGGAAACTGGGAGGGGGTGAGTTATTCACAAAGCGCCCGCCTTGCCCTAAGTTTCCAGAAGGTGATGTGGAGTTTCCAACTCTCTGCCGCAGACAGGGCCCCCGGGGAAGGCAGCTGGCCTTCAGGAGCTGGGGGCCCACATCCCTAACTGCTATGCTCTCTCCATTTCTCTGGTTGTTCCCTAGGTCTCTGGTGCCTTTGTGCCAAGCATTGTGCATCATCTTTCTTAATTAGTGGGTCAGAGGAGAAATGATTACCATCCCCACTTTGGGATACTTCTAGGAGCCTCGGAGTGGATAAAATGGCTCTCAAGATCGCCCAGCTGGTGTAAATGAGCCGAGGTAGGATTCGAACCCACAACTCGTGTCTCCGAAGCCCGCGCCCCTTCACTGAGACGCTAGCCCCGCCCGGTTTCCACAGAAACAAGCACCAGGTGTCTCCATAGCAATCCCTCCGTGGATTGCTCCTTGCCGCCACCTGATGCGCATGCCTGCTTGGTGACGTCACCGCGCAGTTCCGCCTCACGTGGGCGCCTCCCCGGCGCCGGAAGTGAGCGGCGCGGCGCCGGAAGCACCCGGCATAAGGGTCCTAGCGGAGGAGTCGGCGGCATGGGGCAGTCCGGGCGGGTGAGGCGCGGCGGCCTGGGGCCGCGGGCAGGGCGGGCAGGGCGGGCGGGCGGGCGGGGGGCCGGCGGGGTCCCCGCGGAGGCCGTGGCGCTGACCGCTCGCCTTTCGCCCCCCGCAGTCCAAGCACCAGAAGCGCGCGCGCGCCCAGGCGCAGCTCCGCAACCTCGAGGCCTATGCCGCGCAGCCGCACTCGTTCGTGTTCGCGCGCGGCCGCGCGGGTCGCGGCGTCCGGCAGCTCAGCCTGGACCTTCGTCGGGTCATGGAGCCCCTCACCGCCACCCGCCTGCAGGTCTGCACCTCCCACCCCGCCTCCCTCAGCCCTGGGCTCCGTCCTCGCGGCTACGGAGGGGGCTCCAAACTCAGAACCGCGCGAGCCTTCAGGCTCCCTGGCTGGGGAAAGGGACCCTTCTGGGGAGCATCGTCTCTGCCTCTTCGGATTTCGTGGGGCAGCTGCGAGGGCGCGCAGGTGCACCCGCTTTGGCCGGATGCCTAAGGCTGATGGTTAAGAAGGGCCTCGAGTCAGCAAAGCCAGGGTGGAAACTTGGGTTCTCCCAGAGGCCGAGAGGAAGGTAATTAGCTTCGCAGGGCCCGGGAAGTAAGAGACCAGTTTAAGTCTGGGTAGTTCTAGAGGTCAAGAACATTCCACTCCCTTGTTTCTTTGTGCGACAGTTTAAAATGCAAAAAAAGGGCCAAAGAGCTTTAGCTTATGGTTCTTGCTCAAGAAGGGGATATTTATGATCTTTCCATTTTGTTTCTGTAATTCCCAGATACGAAAGAAAAACACCCTGAAGGATTGTGTGGCAGTGGCTGGGCCGCTTGGGGTCACACACTTCCTGATTTTGAGTAAAACGGAGACAAACATCTACTTTGTGAGTGAACGCACGCATCCCTCCTCTTCCCCAGCCCTCCTCCTCCGCCAGCTCTCAGGATGAACCCATATGCCTCTGAGTTGCCATGATTCTGGCTTCAAAGTAAACGCTCTGAAGAGACGGGGAGAAGGTTCCCACGCCCTGCTCGCTAGCTGGATACCGTGGCTCTGACCAGTTTTGTTTTTTTTTTCCCCCCTGCAGAAGCTGATGCGCCTCCCAGGAGGCCCCACCTTGACCTTCCGGATCAATAAGGTAAGGATCGGAGGTAGGAGGGCTGTGTTGGGTAGAGGATGGATTCAGGGGTGGTGCCGACCATGTGTGGCGGCCAGGCACCCACTCCTCTCCCCCTCCCCCCCTGCAGTACACACTAGTGCGCGACGTGGTGTCCTCCTTGCGCCGACACCGCATGCACGAGCAGCAGTTTGCCCACCCGCCCCTGCTGGTGCTCAACAGCTTCGGCCCCTATGGCATGCAAGTGAAGCTCATGGCCACCATGTTCCAGAACCTGTTCCCCTCCATCAATGTGCACAAGGTGGGCTGGGCCTGATGTGGCAGGGGAGGGTGGACGGGCCACCAGTAGGTACCACACACAAGCCCTTGGGTTGTCTGCTCCGTCTTCGCCTCCCAGGGCCGAGGCCAAGCACTCCGGCTCCTCAGGTCAAATCTCGTTCAGGAGTTCGTGACTCTGGGGTAAGGGACTTCCTCATGAGCTTCCTTACTTTCTGGAAGGGAGAAAATGATCCTGATGGCCGTTTATTTCTTGGGTGGGAATTGAGTATTAGCCTGAGCAGCGTGCCAGGTAAACAGAACTCCAGTTTACAGATGGAGAGACAGACTGACAAAGGGGAAGTTGTTAGCGGGAGGTTAGACACGGGCAGGATTGGGTGTTTTGTTTTTTGTTGTTTTAATTTTTAAATGTTTGCTTGTTTTTGAGAGAGAGAAATAATGCAAGCAGGGGAGGGGCTGGGAGGGAGGGAGACCCAGAATCCGAAGCAGGCTCCAGGCTCTAAGCTGTCAGCACAGAGCCTGACGCGGGCCTTGAAATCACAGACTGGGAGATCATGACCTGAGCCGAAGTCGGACACTTAACTGACTGAGCCACCCAAGTGCCCCAGGACTGGTGTTTTTTTTTTTGTTTTGTTTTTTAAAGTTGTTTGGCCCCAGAGCCCCAGCTGCTAGTCCCCGGCACCAACAGGTCTCAACTAGGCCTGTTAGATGATCATCAGGGAGCCTGGTGTGGATGGCCTTGGAACCAGGAACTCTAGCCAGCCAGCCGCCGGTCCGTCAGCCCCCACAGTGCCGGCGGCGCCCCACACCCTGGCTGGGAGATTGCCGGAGCAGGGCTAGGGCTTGCTGTGGCTCCAGCACACGGGGACGCCTGTGGGCAGTTGACACGCCGCTGTGCCCTCACTTCTCCCTTCCAGGTGAACCTAAACACCATCAAGCGCTGCCTTCTCATCAACTACAATCCTGACTCCCAGGAGCTAGATTTCCGTCATTAGTGAGTACTCTCATGGAGGGGGTAGGGGAGAGGCACGGCTTCCGTGTGCGGCTGATGACCACGCTCCTGCTGAGGCTCTGTGATTGCTCAGTTTCAAAGTAAACGCCCTGACGCACTGCGGAAAGGCGGGGTGGGGGGGCAGAGCTGACCTGCAGTCTCAGGGTTCCTAACCCGCCTTCTCACACCCTGGCTCTTGCAGTAGCATCAAAGTCGTTCCTGTGGGCGCGAGTCGTGGAATGAAGAAGCTTCTACAGGAGAAGTTCCCCAACATGAGCCGTCTACAAGACATCAGCGAGCTGCTAGCCACGTGAGAAGGCCACTGGGTGGGGAAACCGCTGCCCCGCTGGAGCCCCTGGAGCTATCCCGGGAGCCTGGGATCCCCTGCTGACGCGTGTGTCTCTGCCCAGGGGCGCTGGGCTGTCCGAGAGTGAGGCAGAGCCCGATGGGGAGCACAACATCACCGAGCTGCCCCAGGCCGTCGCGGGCCGCGGCAACATGCGGGCCCAGCAGAGCGCTGTGCGGCTCACGGAGGTGAGGCCCGGCCCAGGGTGGGCCCGGTGGCACAAGTGAATTCCTCGGGCAGCCCCCAGCCCCGAGGAAGAACCAACCCCCCCCCCCCCCCGTGTCCCTGCAGATTGGGCCTCGGATGACGCTGCAGCTCATCAAAATCCAGGAGGGTGTTGGGGAGGGGAACGTGCTGTTCCACAGTTTCGGTGAGAATGGGGCTGGGAGCCCAGGGCCCTCAGCGGTGGGTGGCGAGGTGCACCGACACACCTGGGTCCGTGACCTGGCTCTTCCCGCTCAGTGCACAAGACCGAGGAGGAGCTACAGGCCATCCTGGCAGCCAAGGAGGAGAAGCTACAGCTCAAGGCCCAGAGGCAGGCCCAGCAGGCCCAGAATGTCCAGCGCAAGCGGGAGCAGCGGGAGGCACACAGGTGTGGCGTGGGCTGCGCGGTGAGGGGGGCTCCCGGGTGCAGGCCACTGCCCTAAATGACGTCTTCCTCCAGGAAGAAGAGCCTGGCAGGCATAAAGCGGGCACGGGCAGAGGCCAGTGGGGATAGTGATGCTGAGGACCCCGGTGCCCCCCCTGAGACGGAGGGTTCTGGCCAGCGAGAGGAAGAGGAGGATGAAGCCGAGTATTTCCGCCAGGCAGTGGGAGAGGAGCCTGATGAGGGTAGGTGACGAGGCTTTGTGCAGCTGGTCACCTTGGGCTTGTCCCTGTGGTGTGATGGCCTTAACATGGTCTCTCCCCACAGACATGTTCCCGAAGGCAGCCAAACAAAGACGGCCTGCTGGGCCCCTGGGCAAGAAGCAGCGAGGAAGGGAGCAGAGGCCAGATCGCAGTGTTGGCCAGAGGCGTCCAAAGGCCAAGGGCAGGCCCCAGCGGGGCCAGGGCCAGCTGGAACGCAGAGGAGCTGCCTGGGAGCACAGGCGAGGTCGAGCACGGCCACCTAAGAAAGCCGTCTGAGGCCAGCCTGGTGCAGTGGATGGAATGCCCCAGATTGGGGCCCAAGCGCCTTTGCCCTGGGTTTCCACCTGGACCTCCAGGTGTAGCCCTCAGTTTCCTTTCATAAAGGAGCGATTCCCCCAACCTCACTCTGGTAAATGCCTGCTTTCCTGTGAGTCTTGAGTCTGTATTTGGAGCGGGGAGAGCTGGAGTTGCGCGGCAGAAAGCCCAGAAAGGCTCCGGCCAGGAGCTTCTGGAACTGGACTGGGTTCTGCCCCAAAGCTAGGTTCTCTCCCGCATCCTGAGCAGTGGACATGCTGGGACTGTGTTACAGGTGAGGGCGATGGGCAGGTTCAGTCTGGTGCCTCGGGCTCCTGGGCCTCTCCCCTGCTTACCCCCCTCCCAGACCCCAGGTACCTGTAAGCCAGTGACTGGCTGCTCCAGAGGGCAAAGTGTGAGGAGGAAGGAAGCCGGGGGTGGAAGCTGGCTGGTGCTGGCTGTGGGCGGAGCTGCCAGCTTTGAGAGAAAGAGGGTGGAGCTGCTGGGAAGGAAGGGGCCACACGGTGCTGGTGCTGGTTCACTTGCACAGACTTGCACGGCTTGTAGCGTACTTTCAGCAGTGGACCCGGACGCAGGGCACGTGGGCCATGACTACCACCACATCAGGTGAGGGTCCTGGCCCCTGCGGCTCAGCCCGGGACTGAGGGCGGGTGTGGCTGGCTCCTAGGAGGTGGACGGGAGGGAGTTAATCACGTCTGGACAGGGACTTCCTCCCAGAGCAGAGCTGGGATGAGGAGGCAGAAGTGTGGTTGGGGAAGCAGGAGTAGGGGAGGAAGGGCCGCTTGCATCTTCCACGGAGCTAGCGGCCAGCCTGCTGGACAGCCTGGGAGCAGGCTGTTTACCCCAAAGCTGAGGCTAAGTTGGGTACAGGAGAGGGAATCCATTCCAGATCCCTGCTCTCATCTACACTGCTGTGTCCCAGGCCTTGTTCTGGGCACTGGGAAGCCAGTGGTGGGGCAGTCCCTGAGAGGTCTTTTGGTTTTTTGGGGCGTTTTCTTAGCAGTGGTCAGATGGAAGCACAGGGTTTGCAGAAATAAAGGGTATGGGGGTGCAGTCATGGTATTACAGGGTCAGAACAGACCTCTCAAAAAAAAAAAAAAGCCTCAGGGCTAGAGACCAAGAAGTGAGCGGGGGCATTGGTGACTCAGGAAAAGAGAATCCGTGCAAAGGCCCTGAGGTGGAACGTGCCCTTAAGGAACAGTCAAAAGCCAGTGTGGGAAGGAAAAAACAAAAGCCAGTGTGAGAAAGACACTAATGAGTCACAGGAAGAGATGAGAGGTTGCAGGTTGAAGGAAAGTTTGCTCCTGGGGCCCCTCCGTGGCAGAGGTGAGCATTACCTTTTCCTCCCCATGAGGAGGGAGCCTCAAAGGGCCCTGAGCCAAAGCCACCAGGCTCAGATGTCCTTGGTGCCCTCTGGAGGCCATGGGGAGAACAGGTTGGAGAAGTGACAGAGGAAAGGTAGAGGCAGCGAGGCTTGATGGATTTTGGGGGGGGGGCGTCTATAGTGGGACAAGGACTACCCTAGACTCCCCCTCCTCCACCCCGAGCTTGGTGGTTCTGGGTGGTCACTGCTGGGTTGTGGTCACGTGAAGGCGGTGACCACCCTGGCTCTGGAGGCTTCCAGACCCGGGACCCAGAACCCAGAGCCACCCTGGTAGGTATCAGCTGACCAGACTCAGCTGCTGACCTTCCTGGGCCGGATTTGCTCCACAAGAAGTTGCTGTGGCTGGCGCCCCCTCCTGGGCATGGGAAGGACCCAGAGAATGCGTGTCCCCAGAGGGCTTGTGCAGCCAGCCACGTAGCAGGAGCTCTGAAGGCGAAGGCGTCAAGAGCCACATGCGGAGGGACGGTGCTCACTTGGTGACGCCATCTGCCCACAGGTGTCACACCCTGCCCAGCCAACTTCTCAGCGGCTGCCAACCGCATCCTCAGCCGTTTCCAGGAAGACTTTCTGTGGCCCGTGCTGGCGGCTGAGTTCCTGGTGGCCACAGCCAGCAACGGCTTCGCCTTATACCGCTTTGGCACCCGGGAGCGGCGCCCGTGGCGCCCGGCCGTGGTCTTCTCGGCGCAGCTGGCCGTCAGCGACCTGCTCTACGCCCTGACGCTGCTGCCGCTGGCCGCCTACCTCTACCCGCCCAAAAACTGGCAGTACGGGGAACTCGCGTGCCGCCTGGAGCGCTTCCTCTTCACCTGCAACTTGCTGGGCAGCGTCCTCTTCATCACCTGCATCAGCCTGAACCGCTACCTGAGCGTCGTCCACCCCTTCTTCACCCGCAGCAGCCTGCATGCCTGGCACGCCTGGGCGGTCAGCGCTGCCGGCTGGGTGTTGGCCGCCCTGCTGGCCGCGCCCACGCTCAGCTTCTCCCGCCTGAAGGGGCCGCAGGAGGAAGGCAACTGCTCCGTGACCAGGCCGGAGGCCTGCACCAAGTGCCTGGGGACAACAGACCACCAGCTCGAGGCCTACAGGGTGTACAGCCTGGTGCTGGCCACCGTGGGCTGCGGCCTGCCGCTGCTGCTCGCCCTGGCGGCGTACGGCGCCCTTGGGTGGGCCGTGCTGCACAGCCACGGCACGACGGCGGCCGAGAAGCTGCGGGTGGCAGTGCTGGTGGCCAGTGGCCTGGCCCTCTACGCCGGCTCCTACGTGCCCTACTCCGTGACGCTGGTGCTCAACGTGTACGCCCGGCAGCGCTGGAGAGCCCGCTGCCCGGACTTTGCGGACTTGGCCGAGGCCAAAGCCGCGCTGGATCAGAGGACCTACGTGAGCCACCAGGTCATGCGGGGCCTCATGCCCTTGGCCATCTGCATCCACCCTCTGCTGTACATGGCGGTGGCACCCAGCCTAGACTGCCGCCTAGGTCCGGGGAGCTGCAGGGAGAGCCAACGCCCTGAGGACCCTGGGAGCTCTGGCCAAGTCCTGCCCCTCAGTGACGCAGGCACCCCCAAAACCTCAGGGCCCTAGGCCCCAGAGCTGATGACCCGGCCTATTTTGAGCCGCTGCCCCCTGCACTGGAATCCAGCAGCAGGATGGGAGGCCAAGAGCACGGAAGGCCACTGGCCCTGAACCACCAACTGGCCCTGAGCCACTGCCGCCTCCGTGCTCTACAGAAAGACCTGACTGGGGACCGGCAAGTGGCCAGGGAGGACAGGCATTTCTGCCCCGAAGCACTGGTTCTGGAGAGGGCTGGCCCCGCTAGCCGCAAAGCAGATGACTAAACAAGGTGAATAAACAAGACAGCATGTGACAACTAGAACCTTTTTATTGCCAAGAGCCCCGTGCTCTGGGAAGCTTCCTTCTGTGGGGTCCTGGGGCCAGGTGACAGTGGGCTTAGTTGGTTGACGGCCTAGAGAGAAACAGAGAGGAGAGAGATGGTGAGGACAGCCTGTGGGGGAGGGGTTCAGACCCCAAGGGGCATCCCAAGCCCCCGTGTTACAACTGGAGCCTCTGTGGCGATGGGGGGTGTGGGGGGGTGAGCAGTGGGGCCTCCTTGAGAACGGAAAGACAGTGACCCGTCCCTCAGAACAAGGTTGGTGGCTTTATGCTGGCACAGGGCCTATGGCCTGAGTGTTAGCTGTGTGTGACAAGGCGCAGGAAGCAGGGTGCGACAGGGTCTTACTTGGCCCACTCGACATTGAGAATGAGGTGGTCGTATCCAAAGCCGGACACCCCAGCGATGGCACGCGCAGCATCCTCACGGCGGTGGAAGCTGATGAAGGCAAAGCCCTGGGGGAGGGGGCAGAGTCAGGGCCACAAACCAGGACAGGCGGCCCCTTCCCCAAACCCCACGGCCACCGGCCCACCTTAGACTGGCCAGTGGTCTTGTCCTTTGCCAAGTAGATGCGAGAGATGGAGCCAAAGGGCCGGAAGAGCTCCTGCAGGTCAGTCTCACGAGTGTCCTCGGACAGGTTGGTGACACGGATAGTGGCGTTGTCGTCGGCTGGACAGGCAAGGAGAGGCGGCCGGTGAGAGAACTGCCCTCCCCAGGCCGCAGCCGAGGGACAATCCCCAGGGACCGGGAGGTTCCCGGCCGCCAGCTCACCTCTGCGGTTGGGCTGCATGGACTCCCCACGGCGGCTGGCCCCGTCCCGCAGGCTCGGGGGCACGTACTTCCCCGTCTTGCTCTGGGCGGCTTGCACGGGCTCCAGCTCTGGAGGCGGACGCAGCCGGGTCAGGCTTCACCCTGGCACAGACGAGGGGCAGGCCGCCCAGGATGCTGGCAGCTCTGGCCCCAAGCCGCGCCAGGCACCGTCTATCAAAGGGCACGTTTCTGGCCGGTCCCTCTGAGGCCCCGTGGACATAAAGGTCATGTCCAGGAAGTCAGGGCGACCTCAGCTGAGGGCTAGAGAAACGCTCAGCTTCCCAACACACGGGAACATGGCAGGGACAGCCCCCAGGTCCCACACACTCCTGGCAAGTGACAAGTGTGCTGCACACACCAAGTCACAGGTGTAGAACTGTCCAGACACGCACGCACAGGGCTATGGCCGCATATGTGACAGACAGACCCGCCACACTCGAGTCCACAACAATCACAGCTGACAAGGCTCAAGCACGTGTGGTGTAGACACACGGGCCTGGAAAGCACTGGTCTGCCGGCTCCGACCAGAGGTGGGCGCCATCGCCCGCGGTCAGAGCACCCCCCAGCCCCGCTCGCTCTCACACAAACCCGGGCCCCAGCCACAGCCTCGCGGTGCTGCTGCTGACGTGGGAGGTCAACTCACGAGGGGAGCAGCCCGTGCCCAGACAGCAGGTGAAGGCCAAGGGCCCTCCCAGAGGTGCACGCGATCCTCCCCACCCCCACCCCCAGGACCACCAAAGCACATCCCCGGGCCCGGGCACCTCCAGGCAGCTTCTCCTTCTCGCCGGTGGACAGGCCCAGCTGCTCAGCCAGCTCCTTCTGCATCGGCCCCAGAGTGTCCTTGTAGGGGCAGCGGGTAGTCCAGTGGTCACCCTTGCAGATGCGGCAGGACACGATCTTCTGGCCCTTGAGCTTGTTCATCGGGTCCTCCTCTTCCTGGCAGTTCAGATCCTGGGTGGGCAGCCAGGGGACACTCAGCGGGATTGTCACACCCCGGCCACCATCATCACGGCCACTGGCCCTGCCCTGTCGCCCCACTCACCTCTTTGCTAGTGATGAACGTCATGGACACGTCGTCACTGACTGTGGTGGTGGCCACGTTGGGCCCTGGTGGGTCAAACTCTGAGTTCCCAAACTTCTTCCAGTTCTGGGCTCAGGGCGGGATAGGGGACAGGTAAGGGCAAGGGTGACCCCTTCCGCTGGCATCCCAGACCCACAGTAGTCCCCGTCAGGGCGTCGGGGCCTTGAACCACATTCTTCACCCTCCCCCAAAGCTCCCCACTCCGGTGACAATGACAGTCCCCGTTTCCTGGTGTGCACCCCTCCTGGCGTGTGCCAGGCCTCAGCCTCATGCCGGCCCCAAGAGGAGGGAAGGACAGCTCTCCGCCCCAAGTTCCAGATGGGAGCCGAGGCCCAGAGGAGGCAGCCGCACAGCTAACCGTTCCTGGGGACCCGTGACCGTAGGCGGCCCAGCTCCCACAGGAAGTGATGCTCAGGAGTATGCGGGCGTCACCCAGAGCATAAGGGGCATTGAGCTAGTTAAACAAGCTAGGCCTCCGCCTCTTCCCCTACAAAATGGGGGCCAAAATGCTCCCCACCTCCCAGGGCTGCTGAGGGGATCAAATGGGAGAACACTTCCTGCAAAGCACTTGGCATGGGGTCTGGCGCGGGGAAGTGCACAGAAAGTTGGGCCAAATGTTACTGCTATGGCGCCGTCCCTAAGCGTGCAGCCCAGCTCATCAGGAACTGCCGTGACCACCTCAGGGGGGGGCTTGGCTCCGTTCCTCCCAGACTCTAACCCCACCCACTCGCACCCTGGATTTTCAGTGCCCCAGGAGGGTCCAAACACCTCCAGCCCTCAGCCGTGCTCCAACATCATGGGTACAAATAGTTAAACCCCGCTTTTAAAAATAAAAGCACCCCTGGGGCGCCTGGGTGGCTTAGTCGGTTAAGCGTCCGACTTTCGCTTAGGTCATGATCTCGCGGTTCGTGGGTTCGGGCCCCGCGTCAGGCTCTGTGCTGACTGCCAGCTCAGAGCATGGAGCCTGTTTCAGTCTGTGACTCCCTCTTTCTCTGACCCTCCCCTGCTCACACTGTCTCTCTCTCTCCTAGAAATAAATAAAACATTAAAAAAAATTTAAAAAATAAATAAATAAAAAAAAATAAAAATAAAAGCACCCCAAAAAAATAGGATTCCTAATTCCTCTGAGCCAGTCCTGGGGGAGCCCCCAAGACAAAAGGGTCTCACCTTCCTCCTCGCAACAGCCTTCGAGGCCTTCCGAGTCTCGATTCTGAAGGTGCGAACAATCTGCGGATGGGAGGCGAGAGGTTCGGACTTGCTGTTTCTCTGAGGCACCTGGAGCCAAACCCCAACCTACCCAACACACACCACCCGTCCCCAGCCTCACCTTGAACTTCTTGCCATCCTCATCTATCTTGTACTCCGTCACTGTCTTGATGTTTCCATTGATGACCTCCTTGGGAGGCGGCAGTGGAGCTGGGACAGAGAAGAGGTGAGGAAAGTGAGCCCGGGGGGAAAATGAGGACCAGGAGGGGATGCGCTGGGGAGAGGCAGCCGCGAATGGAGCGGAGGGCCTCACTCACCTCCCGGCACTAACTCAGGTTCTGGGCTGGTGTCGCCTGTGGCCAGAGGGATCCCTTTGAGGAGCTCGCTGGTGACACATTTGTCTGCGGAAAGGGAGTGTGGGGAGGAGGGGTGAGCTGGAGGAGCGGGAGCTCCGGAGACAGAATGCAGGGCCCTTTGGGGCGCCTGGGTAGCTCAGTTGGTTAAGCGTCCGACTTCGGCTCAGGTCATGATCTCACGGTTCGTGGGTTCCGGCCCCGCATTGGGCTCTGTGCTGACAGCTAGCTCACAGCCTGGAGCCTGTTTCAGATTCTGTGTCTCCCTCTCTCTCTGACCCTCCCCTCTCATGCTCTCTCTCTCAGAAATAAATAAAACATTAAAAAAAGGGGGGGGGCGTTTGGGGGCGGATGCCCACACCAGGGGCCCGTGAAGGCGGGACGCAGGGCTGAGGAGTGACGAAGAATTGCCCTGGGGCAGCCGGGACCGGACGCCGAGCTGGCTGGAGTAATCTCGAGCAAAGGTAAGGACGTAAGCAGGGGCGGCCCATAAAGCTCTCCCGGCGCTCGTATAAACGCGGGAGGCGGGCTGTTACAACTTCCTCCCCGGAGCAGCTACGAGGATTGGGCGGCGGCAGGGGAAGAGGGAAAAGCCACCGATCATCTGGAACTGGCGATAGGCTGGCCCGGAGAGAGGATGGCGCGGGGCAAGGCTGGCCGCGACGGGGCATACGGGATCGAACCGCGGTTTGCAAGGGGGTGGAGCAGGCGGCAGCGACGGGCCTGGGGGGCTGGCTGCGGTGGCCTGGGGCGCCCGGGCACACTCACCATCCTCGCCCTCCTCCTCCACCTGGTCGGCCCAGCTGGGCTTCGAACTGCAAGAAGTGTGCAGAGGGGAGGGCTGGGTCAGCGAGGCCAGGCCCCCGCCGCCTCGACGTACCCAGGCCCCACGATGCTCCCCAGGCCCCCCAGCCCCCCTCCCGGGGTTCGCCCCGCGCCCCTCGACTCACTCAAAATCCCCAGTCGGCATTTCACGAGCTTCTCCACGCAGCCCAATCCCGGGCTAGAGACCGGAAGCGAGGGGAGCGCGAGACTTCCTGTGCCGCCTAGAGCGGCCCGGCCGCAGCGCCCACAGCGCCCTCTGCGGACGGGGGTGGAGGTGCCGGCTGCGTGAGCTGCGGGGCCAGGGCTGAACAGAGATACGTTCCATTTACCTTTGAGCAAAGTTTTAAAAAACGTATTTATAACAATAAAGCTCGCTTGTCGAAAGCTTACTGTGTGCCAGGAACTGTGAGGAGGAAGCCATTTTCGTCCTGCAGCTGAAGAAATCGAGGCTGGTCTTCCTAAGTCTGGGAAGTTTTCCTGATTCCAATGATCAAGATGTCAAGTGGCCCCTCAGCCTCTCTCCCTCCTTTTCCACTTCATTCTCCCTCCTAACATTCTTGGCTCTTTGATATGACCTTTTCCACTTATTTGTTTATTGTCCAACGCCCTTTAGAGTATTATTCTCAGTGGGAGCCACACGACTCCCAAGGGGGCCAAAATTAATTCTTGCCCTTAGGTATTATAATGGCATGTGGTCCTCCAAA